GTCTTGTTATAAAAATGATAATAGGACATTAAAGTCATAATTAATCTTTCAGTACTTTTACTTTTGATACTTAAGTACATTAGAAGGCAAATACTTTTGTACTTGTACTCAAGGGGAGGTCTAAAGGGAGGAACTTCTACTTTTACTGGAGTAATATTTTACCTTGGGTGTCTCTACTTTAGCTCAAGTACATGGTTGTGTGCTTCGTCCACCACTGATTTTTACAGTCCACAGTAAGTCATACTGCCATCCAAACCACATCTACAGGTCTGCACGATCTCAACGAAGAGCTGGATGTTGTTTGAGAGCTGTTTTGCGGATGCGTTATTGTAAAAGATTTGGGTGACTATTGACTTCTAGTGTTTTAGCATTGTAGACTCCAGTTCTAAACTAAAGACGCAAAATTTGATCACCTACCATGCCTTGGCTGATCGACTATGTCTGGAGTACGCAGAAAACAGTCTGCATTTGTCAAATATGGGCTCAGTTGCACTAATCTTGTATGCTTGACATCATACATTTGCATGACCATGCAACTTTCTCCACTTTTCTGGGTTGAATACTGATAAGGATTCATATCTGAAACTGTGCTAGCAGCTTCTCACCTGTCCTGTGAGGCCTACAGTCCATATGTGTGCACATGAAAGACCTCCTGGCTGAGTGTTTGTTCTCTATACGGCCATGAGAGCTCTTCTTTAATGCCACTGGATCGTTATCTTTGAAGATGAAAGGTTGGATGGTAAAAATCAGAGCGCTGCAGGACAACACGCACACGCACACACACACACACACACACACACACACACTCACACACACACACGTGCCCCTACATTTCCAGATACAGTGGAACTGCTCTGCCACAGCAGCACTGCTCAGCAGCTGCTTTAGGAGCCAGTGGGCTTTTTTTATCACAAATGATGCACCTTTCCTGAAATCCAAATTGGGAACGGGTGGGTTTGCAGGCTGATCTGTGGGCCTGTTGCTTCCATAAATGACTGCTTGGTTACTGTTGCTATGCACAGCGCGATGCAGCTCGAGCCAATGAGCAGAGCAGAGAGACACTAAAACGGTAATCTATATTACAGTGAACAAGCCACGGAGCTCAACTTCAGCAGCTTCATCTCTCACTCTGTTAACTGCCTTATAGAGAAAACACTGCTTCCTGATTTAGAACAGTTTCCCCTTTATCACTCAGAATCTACTCTGAATTATTCAGTATCTACTATGAATCATTCAGTACCTGCTATGAATTATTCTGGAACTAATATGAATTATTCCGTATCTACTATGAGTTATTCAGTATCTACTATGGATTATTCAGTATCTACTAAGAATTATTTAGTAATTACCATGAATTATTCAGTATCTACTATGAATTATTCAGTATCTACTATGAACTATTCAGTATCTACTATGAATTATTCAGTATCTACTGTGAATCAGTCATGAATTATTAGGAATTATTCAATAACTACTATGAATTATTCAATGTCTACTATGATATCTACTACTAGAATATCTACTACTATTGCGCATGCTTCTTGTCACGTACACCCAATATAAAGCAATTAGCGTAGGTGGGTTTACAAGCGTCAGTTTGTATTGGCTGCATTTTAGGGGAGGGGCTGTATGTTGGCAGGAGATAAATCAGCACATTTCCTAAATGTGTAGACTGTTGATGATTTGCTTTAAAAGTGGCTGTGCTGTTGAATCTCTCCTGAATGTGTAGCACTAGATCTACAGATCTAGACCCCCTCTGTGGTTTTTGGATGCCCCACTCAGGGTTTTGTTCTGGGCCAGGCCTGCTAGGATGCTAACGTTAGTTTAACTGAATCTTTCTAAGTATTTTGAATGTGAGTTTTTGCCCTACAGTTTACAAAAGAGTGCTTTTGTGGGCGGAGCATGGACTGATCAACTGAATTATGTAAACACAAAATTAAGTAGTGTTCATATGGGTGGGTAACAGTGTGTTCAGCGTTTTTTGGTTGTCTTCTTGTTTCTCGCTCAGCTTCTTCTTTCCTCCCTCCCTTCTCCCTCCTCTCTCTCGCTCGCTCTCTCTCTATTTCTCCCTGTTTCAGAGCGTCATTCTGAGCGAAAGGGATCAAACCTCCTCGAGTCTTATGTAACCAGGCAAGACTGAAATACTGCAACTCCAACGTAAAGTGACGTAGGAATCACTTAAACACTCACACATACACCGATCAGGCATAACATTCTGACCACCTCCTTGATTCTACACTCATTGTCCATTTTATCAGCTCCACTTACTATATAGGTGCACTTTGTAGTTCTACAGTTACAGACTGTAGTCCATCTGTTTCTCTGATACTTTGTTAGCCCCCTTTTACCCTGTTCTTCAGTGGTCAGGACCCCCATGGACCCTCACAGAGCAGGTATTTTTTGGGTGGTAGATCATTCTCAGCACTGCAGTAACACTGACGTGGTGGTGGTGGTGTGTCAGTGTGTGTTGCGCTGGTACGAGTGGATCAGACACAGCAGTGCTGCTGGAGTTTTTAAACACTGTGTCCACTCACTGTCCACTCTATTAGACACTCCTACCTTGTCAGTCCACTTTGTAGATGTAAAGTCAGAGACGATAGCTCATCTGCTGCTGCACAGTTTGTGTTGGTCATCCTCTAGTCCTTCATCAGTGGTCACAGGACGCTGTTGGCTGGATATTTTTGGTTGGTGGACTATTCTCAGTCCAGCAGTGACACTGAGGTGTTTAAAAACTCCAGCAGCACTGCTGTGTCTGATCCACATCAGACCAGCACAACACACACTAACACACCACCACCACGTCAGTGTTACTGCAGTGCTGAGAATGATCCACCACCCAAATAGTACCTGCTCTGTGAGGGTCCATGGGGGTCCTGACCACTGAAGATCAGGGTAAAAGGGGGCTAACAAAGTATGCAGAGAAACAGATGGACTACAGTCTGTAACTGTAGAACTACAAAGTGCACCTATATAGTAAGTGGAGCTGATAAAATGGACAATGAGCGTAGAAACAAGGAGGTGGTCATCATGTTATGCCTCATCGGTGTATATGAACATGTAGACACACACAGGGCTTGGCAATGTGACGATGCTGATGGTTTATGTGATAAATTACATCATGATATGTTTTTCTATACTGTGGATATCGTCACTGCTTAATGACCACACATTTAGTAGTGTTGAATTGGACTAAACAATAGGGTATACATACATAAGCATAGCCGTATGAGAACACACAAACACAACTGCACATATACAAGCCTGAAAAATAACTATAATATTTTATTATCCATTCTTTTCAGGAGTCTCACTTTCAGTTCCTCAAAGAATCTGCAGACACACCTCCAAAGTTCAGTCTTAGAAGCTGGTTGATCATTTTCTGAATTAATCAAACACATTCAGTGATGTTGAGGTCTGGACTCTGGGGTGGTCAGTCTATTGCTCAGCTTCTTTGTTTGATGTGTCCGTCTCCTTTTCTCAGTGAGGTTCTTCTTGAACAGCTACACATCCTTTCAGACCCACAGCGCTGAGTCGTCTTCTCACAGTGGAAGGATGGACAGAAACACCTGTGGATGTTTTCAGATCTGAAGCAGCTTGATTTTCTCCTCTCTCTCAGAGATGAAAGCTTTAAGTGCTGTTTATCTGATGGGGGCAGTTCTGGTGTCTACCAGGTCTTCCAGGTGGCTGTTAGGGGCCCCATTTTGAAATGTTTTATTTCACATATTTTCCTTTGACTTTCTCCTTCCTTATGCAAATGCATTATCTTTTATCTAATCTTCTCAGAAACATCTCCTCTAAAACGAAGAACTTGCATATTCTGTATACATGATGCAGTCAGGCATTATGCACACACATCCGCACATTTCCCAGCCCCCTCATTTACTCCCACACACATATACAATATTTACATGGATGTACATGTCAGAGTATAGATGTATAAATGTTTGCTGAGGCTGTTTTTCTGCAGTGGAGGATAGCAGACTGGCCTGCAGCCCCCACCACTCTCCTCCAGGGATGACATTACCCATCACTGAGCCACAGAAGAAACACTTTAATTAATACTCTCTAAATGTCAGATAGAAGAAAACCCTCTCTTACTACAGCAACTACGGCTCCACACCATTGCATAATGAGGTAAATTTAGCTGCGTACTGAGCAAAAAAAGACCTCACATTCAGTTTCCAACGACATGTCGCTGTTGTCGGAAGAAAACCTCGTATCTCCAAAATGGTAACTTTACAGGAGAAGGAAAAAACATACTTTACTTTTAATGTAAGTCAATGGAACCAGACGTTTTTCCAAGTCATTTTGGGTCAATTCTTTTGGTCCATTTATCATGAAATTTACACATAACATAAAGACCAACAGGTATTTTCAAATTATGTCAAAAACTGAAAAACGACAAAAATGGAGATACGAGGTTTTCTTCCGACAGCAGCGATATACTCACTTGCTACAGAGTGTGTTAAAGTGAAAAAATCTAATTTACGCAATTTCCCTCCCTTACCCCAATGTAGACATTTTTGGTGACACCACATGGCATACTGTCTTCTATGAAGATGGACAAAATTCAGGCTATTACCGTTTTAGCTATGAGACATGCTGTTATCCATGATTATAGATGGTATATCATACAGTGTCAGACACCACATAAGCATTACAAAGGGAAGTGTGTGATGATGCATGCAGTTTGCACTATGTTCACTGGTATAAGCTTCCATTACTTTTAGCTGCATTAGCCTTGTAGATCCAGTGCTTTATACAGTTAAATTTTCATGCAAACTTTAGTTGCTCAAAACTTACACGAAGCTAAATTGCACCTGAGTTGCGTAATATAAAGCTTCCTGCAACTCAAGTGAAACTCTGACGCAACAGTTGCAAGCATCTCAACCTTATGAAACAAGTTTCATGATACAGCCAATCAAAACACCAAAAAAGACCTGTGATGTGCTACTGCATCTTTTCGAACTGCTGCTAATGCGACGTCACTGGACAGCCGAATGTACCCGGAGGAAAGTGCCAACCGCCAGATCTGTTACGTCAGCATCACACTGAGTGATGCATCTTACCCACCCAGAGAGCGAGGCCAATTGTGTTCTCTTGGACTCCTGGCCACAGATGGCTGTAGCATCATCATGGATCGAACTCATGATATCCTGATGACAGGGCCAACGCTTAGATGATTGCACCACTTGGGAGCCACCAAGCTGTTGATTTCACCAGAATAGTGGACACGAAATTAAAACAGAAGATTTTTGCCTGAAGCAGGACACCTTTGGGCTACAGTCATGGTCTCATTTGAAAGGTAACACTTGTACGTTTTTTCCTCAAACATCAGAATAATTGTATGAATCACTGACATTGAGTAACAGAGGCTAGAATGGGGGAGTTTATTTCCGCCTGACACATAGATCTCTAAACTGATCTCTGACTCTTGCCGTGTTATCAGAACACGGATTATGATGTCTCTGTGGAGAGCGGCGAGGCTTTGAAGGTGAGGACCCACAGCTGTGGTAGCATTTGTGCATTCGGTGCTTATGTTGCACTGTATATAATAGAATAATTTATATATATAATGAATAATGGATCATGAAATGGTTTGCGGGAATCGAATCACAAAATTCCAAGCTTTCTAACGCTATATTGCATCACCATATTGCTGGATGATTTCATGCATAAAAATCTGGAAGTGAACACTCTGTTTTGAACAACATGCAACACAACTAGTGGCATGAAAGTTTCACCATGACTTAAGAAGCGAACGTCAGACTCCTACAGGGTAAGGGGGGGATGCTGTGTACACATCACTTTAATGGACTATTTTGAAGACGGTATATGAAGCGGGAATGTGAAAATGAAGCAGGGTACTATCATTAGCTCTTTCATTAGATCATGTCCTTGTAGGAAACAAAAACGAAAAATCTGTAAAAGTGGCCATCGACAAGGCTGCTGCTGCTGTCTTTACCATAATCAACTTTGGCAGCAATAGGTTTCCATTGCTAATTAGCTACATTAGCCTCGTAGCTAATGAGGTAAGGGGGGAATTGTGTGAATTAGACTTTTGGCTAAACTATCACTTTAACTGATAATTGCAGGAACGCGGTCGAGGAAGTATTGATGTCACCGCAGTGCTTTGTTAAAGTGTAACACTTTCTTTGTGTATAATATTCGCTTTGAACAGCATTAATAATCAGGCGTTTATGTGTCTTGAAGCGGATTATAGACTCTCTGGAGAGCGTTCCTGTTTTCCATAATCAGATACGGGCCTAAAACACAAAAAGGGGAAAGAGAGGAATCAGACAGGTTTAACACCAAAGAGAGAGAGAGAGAGAAAGTGAACAAGAAAAGAAAGAGAGGAAACCACAGAGAAAGGAAGAGATAAAGAAGAGAGAGAATGAGATAGAGTGAATGACAGTGGCAGTGAGACAGTGAACAAGAGAGCAAGGCAGAGAGATAAAGAAGAATATATATAGAGAGAATGAGATAGTGAACGAGAGCAAGACCATGAATGAAGGACAAGGGGAGAGAGAATGAGAATGAATAAGACAGCTAGAGAGAGAGAGAATGAGTTACTTAGAAAGACAGGGTGAGAGAGATTGAGATAGTGAACAAGAGAGAGAGAGATAGTGAATGGGGAGCTAAGAGAATGAGAGAGTCAATGAGAGTGAGTGAGGACAGCAACAGCAAGAGAGAGAATGAGATAGTGAATGAGAGAAAGCAAACAGTGGGGTAGAGCGAGAGAATGAGAATAGTGAATGAAGAAGAGAGGGAGAGATAAAGACAAAATAGAGAGAGAATCAGATAAAAAAAATAAACAGCCTATCAGAGAGAGTGAACGAGAGAGAGAGAGTGAATGAGAGAGGGGGAGAGAGAGAGAATGAGATACTAAATGAGATAGTATGAGAGACGGAGAGAGAATGAGATGGTGAATAAGAGAGCAAGAGGGAGGATGAGAGAGAGTGGCAGAGAGAATGAGATGGTGAACAAGAGAGAGTGAATGAGAGGGGGAGAGAGAATGAGATAGTATGAGAGATGGAGCGAGAGAATGAGATAGTGAATAAGAGAGCAAGAGAGAGGATGAGAGAGAGAGTGGCAGAGAAAAAGACGTGGTGAACAAGAGAGGGGGGGAGAGAGAATGAGATAGTATGAGAGATGGAGAGAGTGAAAGAGGAGAGCGATAGTAAGAGAGAGAATGAGATAGTGAATGAGAGAAAGCAAACGATGGGGAGATCAAGAGAATGAGATCAAGTGAATGAAAGAGAGAGGGAGAGATAAAGAAGATATTGAGAGAGAGTATCAGATGGAAATAGAATCAAAAGGAGAGAAAAGAAAGAGAATGGGAGAGAAAACAACATGGCGAGAAAGAAGAGAGAAAATAAGAGAGAGAGGCGAGAAGAACTAAGAAAGAGAAGAGAATGAGAAACAGAGGATGAGAATGAGAGAAGAAAATGTACAGAAAAAGAAAAAGATGATGATGATGATGATGATGATGGTGATGAAGGTGGGCTGGGGGAACAGAGAAGGCACATGAGCCCGTCGCTCGGAATCTTGGTGCAATGCAGAGAGCATCGTCATGGAAACGGGTGGGGAGTGAGCGAGAGAGAGGGAAACAGAAAGAGGGAGAGAGCGAGGCTGGAGGATTACAGAGGGAAGGAGGGATGAGTGTAGAGCTGCATACGGTCAGTCTTGAGTGTGGGTGGACGGAGGGCTCAGCAGCGGACGGCTTTAATAGTGAAGGCCATGGTGAGCTAATGGCTATTAAGGCTGGAGACTGAGGCTCGTTACAGGAGTTACAGCTCAGATAGCTTCAGGCTAAGGGTTCTCACAGACAGCTCCACAGGGGCTCGAGTGCTGTATGGACAGTAGGGCTGGGTGATGTGGATACTAAAGCAATAAGCCATGAGAGGCTGTAGGTTACTGGGATTTTATCACGGGGAAGGGTGTCCTCTGTCCTAAAACTCCCTTCCCCGTTCACCGCTGACTGAGGAGAAGGACGTTCGGACATTTCCTGATTTTTAAAACTTTTTCCGTATAACAGTTAACATATGTAACATTACTGTTTAATGCAAAACCTTCAGTTTATAAGTACTTTTTGGTCACCAAATTACCACCACGAGTCTTCTGCCAGTCTGACAACACCTTTTATTTTTGTCCAACGCTGGGGCTGAATCTCAAACGGCTCCCTGCTCCCTACATAGTGCACTACGTAGGAATTTAAATACTGACTTCTGCAGCCCAACAATGAAAATTATCGCTAAAATGGTAATTAGGGATCCATCCACATTCATACTCGACAAGCAGTGCAGTATCTGACAGCAGAAGCTAGAATTTCTAAACTTAATGTTATACAGGTCACTATTTAGCTAGGGAATACGGAGCCGTTTGGGGTTCAGCCTGGGTTTGATGCGACTTTTGACTGAAACACGGACATTTGAAGCATGTAAGACATTCAGGTGATATTCTTTAGACTTTTATATTACCGTTTTTCATTGGATCATGTCGTTAGTACTTTAATTTAAGCCTGTGATATTAATGTTGGAGTTGTTTAGGCTATCTTTTAGCCTGTTAGCTCACTGACCAGCCTATTTCTAGTTAAGAACATAAGTCGCCAGCCGCTCAGTTTAAACAAAAGCGGGTTCTTACTTCATCAGTACACTCGGCGCTCTGTGCTGAGCCATGTTCAAAGCCATTGTAAAATCCACGATATACCATGGCTGTGACCGCCTCACAGCAACTGAACTCTGTATCACTGCGCCACGTCACGAAAAACCCTTCTGCTGTTAATGGATTAATTAATAGTTCCATTAACAGGACAAGGGTTTTTTTTTTTTGTGCCGTGGATATTTACCGAGTACATCATGGTACTGAAGGGCTGATATTATGGAAAAATAACATGTTTTGCCCGTCTGAAATAAGAGTTTTCACATTTCAAAGCATATCGTTCATATGCAACAACATTTTAATGTCTGTTTAACCATCTTGGCTGTAAATATGTCTCAGTATGTGCTGATGTACTAATATAGACTAAAAATATAAACGAAAACACAGACTCACTTTGCTCTGCTTTAAGCTGTAGCTCAGCTGTAGCTGCTTTTCTCACATCTCCAGCAGGAAACTTTTCCACAAAAATAAAATAGTTTCTTGTAAAACGTCTCTCAACGTTCGATTTTTTACAAGGCTGAAGCCGCTCCTCATTCACCAAAATAATTTGGAGACAAATTGACTTATATGCATTTATAATCACTCCAGCTGGTTTCCTGCTACGTTTAATCTGCAACAAGAAACTGTCAAACACTAAAAAGTTGCGCCGCTGAAGTTCCTTCTTGTTCATCAGCTTCTTGTTTAAATTTTTCCCGTTTCACCTTTAAATGGTGCCTGAGGTACCAGAATGTAACTGCTGCACCATTTAAGGTGGAACAGGAAAATTGAAACAAGAAGCTGCCGAACGAGAAGCGACTTCAGCTTCGCCACTTTTTAGTGTTTGACAGTTTTTTGTTGCAGATTAAACGTAGCAGGAAACCAGCTGGAGTGATTATAAATGCATATAAGTCAATTAGTCTCCAAATTATTGATGTTCGTCTTAAATCTCTCTCTTTGCCGGTTCGTTAGCTACTAACTAGGCGATGTTGTCTGTGTTGCTATGGTGACCAGCAGTCTGCGCTGATCTTCAGGGTTAAAGGGTGAATCAGCAGTTCTACATTAACTCCAGAGTTTAAGACCATTTATTGTTAAACTGTGTTCAACGATCAGCAGAGCTTTATTTTACTGTAAAGGAGAATTATTTTATTTTTACCTACAAATCTGATTCTGCTGTGGAGCCGCAACAGGACAGTAGAAGAGCCACGTGTTACTGACCCCTTGGATTAGGACTTCAGGAGCTGAACTGAAGGCCTTATGTGTCAGATTACTAACATAATCACAAAGTGACAGAGGAATCAACCAATCACGCTGTGATTTACAATGAGTCAGACCAATTCTGTGAGAAAAACATCACTGTAGGTGTAGGACGCTGGCAGAAATGAGCATTTTGTGTTTTTTCCTTGTTTTTGATCGAGTTTTCACATTTATGCCCCAAACTGCAGGCCTAGCTCTGTTGGTCACAGCAGTTTAGCCTCGCCTCATTACAGCCCACCTTTACTTTGTGAGATGTTTCTGAGATATGTAAACGCTGCTGTATGCGCTCTGAGCTTACATCACTGTGAGTTACGCTGCTGATATTAATAACTGTATATATAACTGACTCTGTCTGTGTTCTGGAGTCGTCTGTGTGATGATATCTGTGTTGAGGAACGCAAGCGTTTGTCTAAACGCTTCACCCACACACACACACACACACACACACACACCCACAACCTCACATACACCCACACCCTCACATACACACACACCCTCACATACACACACGGTCTTGAGTGAGGGATTAAAAATAGCCGCTCTGCTCCATTCTGTTCGTTTAGAGCCCTCAGCCTTCATCAGCTCCTCCTTTACCTCCTT